ATCAATTAATGCGTTCCTAGGGAAACTGCTTGCCAGGCTGGCGGTGCGGAGAAGGGCTTTTCTCCCCACCGCAAGCCTTCAGGACAGGTACGGGAACAGAGGGGAAGGCGCGCAGCGCTTTCCCTCTGTTCCCGGGGCTTGCGTGGGAGGAGGGTTTTTCCTCCCCACCGCCAACATTCAGAACAGCATTCTGAATGTTGGCGGTGGGAAGGCAAACCCTCCTCCCACCCCAAGTCTTCAGGAAAAGCCATCCGAAGCCGGGCGGCGGGATAAGGTGTCCCCGCCCGGCATCGGAGCTTCGTTCCGATGGCGGGCGGCGGGATAAGGTGTCCCCGCCCCGCCCGGCATCGGAGCTTCGTTCCGATGGCGGGCGGCGGGAGAATGCGTTCCCGCCCCGCCGCCCACCATCGGAGCTTCGTTCCGATGCCGGGCGGCGGGAGGAGGTGTCCCCGCCCCCCACCCGGCATCGGAGCTTCGTTCCGATGGCGGGCGGCGGGAGAACGCGTTCCCGCCCCCCCCCCCCCCCCGCCCGGCATCGGAGCTTTGTTCTGATGGCGGGCGGCGGGAGGAGGTCCGAGGACAGTGGGGAAGACACGCTGCGCTTCCCCGCTGTCCCGGAGATTTCCCTATGGGCTTTCGTCTTGCGAAGCAAGCCCATAGGGAAATTCGTTTTGCGAAGCGCCTCCAAAATGGAAAACTCTTTCGTCTAGCGGGTTTTCCGTCTTGCGAGGCGTTCGTCTTGCGGGGTACCACTGTATTTAGCTGCTTCTCAGATTTACTCAGGGTGAGATACCGAAATTAAGCATTTTAAAAATTAGCTAAGCTAAGCATCAATAAAATCAGAATCAGATACACCATTAAGATGTTACAAATACAGTAGATTTCTTTTAATGCATAGAAATAGAGTAGCAGCATAAAAATGTATGTTATAGATAAGGATTAGAATCTTCCTTAGCAAAGCTGAATTTATTGTGGTATGTATTCTTGCATTTCAGGCTGAAGAGATAAAACAGATTGACATATATAACTACTAGCCAACCAGTGACTGCTGTGAAACAAAGAGCTTAAGGCTCTCTGTAGCTTTTCAGTGCTAACCTAGGAGTAAACTCTTAATGTGCTCAGTGGGGATTACTTCTGAGCAGACATACATAGGATTGCAGTGCTGGTGAAGCAAATTTTGAAATGTCCTCTGCTGAAGTTACCTACTGTGTACAGGTTGTGTCTGAAAGGTGTTCCTGCTTTCCCTATGCAAACTTCAGAATAATCCATAATGTTGTTATTAGAGATGGGCAGAGGAATCATGTGGAGATGAGGTGGGGCAGAGAGTCCATGGCCAGAGGAACTGCTGCTTCTTATGCCCTGCTGGCTAGGGTGAAAGTTGGTGGGGCAGGGCAATTAAAAGAAATTCTACCATGATCAAGAGTTTTCTTTTCTTTTGCTGCAATTGCCTGTTTGGGAAAAGGAAATAACTACGGTAGTTCAAGGGTTGGCATAGTTTTGTGGCCAGTTTGGGGGTTGGGGGAATGGAAGGACTTTAGATCTTATGGATCCAAGCCTCCACCCTCATATTTCCCCTTTTCATCCCCCACTGATAGGAACGGTGTGGTGGTGAAGAATCCTCTGGCAGTAGAAAACATCCTTCTCTGACTCTCTCCAGCCATGGAGGGGAAGGCTATGGCATTCTATAGCCCATTGGCTGCCCACCCTGGCAGCTGAAGGGGAAAGGTGATACTGGCTTTATTAATGGTGGGGGAGGGAGTGCTGAAAAACAAATTGCACAAAAGCATGTGCTTTTCGTTATTTACGTCATGCTCTTTTTTGCTATATGTTTCTTCCAATGGGCATTGTTCATTACAGGATATGAGATTTTATCCTAGATGTTCCAGTAGTCAGCTTCTGGAATGTCCATCTCAGGATTATTGCTAAAAATAATTGCTTTGTAGGAAAAAAGCAGAGATAAATCCTTGGAAAAGCCACAGAGAGCCTTATGCTCTTGGTTTCACAGAAGTCATTGGTTGGCTAGTAGTTATATATGTCAATCTGGTTTATCTCTTCTGCCTGTTCAGTTAGTACTTAGTATAAAGGAGAGCACAACCTATTTTTTATAAATATTGTTGACAGGTTTCAGTAGTTACAAATATAGTTTTATTAGAGCCTCTCTTGTGAAATGCTCCAATGTTGTGTATGAAATATTAATTTTCAGTTAATTTTTAATCTGATTCTAATGCATTTCCACTGAGTGTGTCTCCTAGATAAGTATGCACGGTTTGCAGTCTTATACCATTAGTTACCCTTGCAAACAGTATATATGGCAATATAGGCTCTTTTCAGTTTGGATAGCTGCTTTACAGTTTGGATTTCACCAAAGCCTAGCCTCTAAACACTTCACCAAAGAATGCAACATATTTATTTAAGCAGGCTTGTATTAATAGGGGAAGTGTATGTGGTGTTTAAGTTTTGTATGTTTTTGCTTCTTATTGCCTATGTTCTTATTGTCCATCTAAGAACAGGTTAATGAATTTTTACTGTATTCTTCAAAGATGAGAAGCATGTTATAAAATTGTACTGAACACTACTGATTGTTGGAATGCAAAACAACTGGCATAATTATTTGTTCTGAAAAGCGGAAGCTTTTGTTCCGCTCATAGTCATTACAAGTGTATCTGTTGTTCCTAGACTACAGTCCACAGCTTGTGATCTGCTGCAGATCAGAACACTGTGTTACAAAAATAAGTTGAAATGCTTATTTGAGTTATCAGTTGTAAAAAGCATGATTAATAGTAATTAATATTACCATCAGCTGAAATAGTTTAATTCTTCAATACCATTCAATTCTTATTTAATGCCAGTCATGTGCTGTGCACTGTACTGAAGTGATAGAAAACTGTTTTGGATGTAATGATGTTGCATAGGGAATAGGAGATGGTGCCTTATCCCTGGAAGCCCTCCCTGTATTAAGTTTTGCCTAATTTTGAATTTTTATATTTAGGGTTAAATGATGTATACCGTGCTCTGCTGTTAGCAGTGAGCTGCAATGAACATTTCATCTATAAAGCCCAATTGATTTAGGAACTGTGTACCTTTAAATGTCTTTGCTGCTGCAGATTGGACATGTTTATGCAAATTACTAGAGCAGTGTTGAGATTCTGGGCTATGTTTCTTCCATCGTGAGTTCGCATTTATGGCCTAATTCAGGAGACCTTTGATTTGTTGACCTTCTAAGAATTGTGCAAGACTCATGGTTGTTGTTGTTTTAATCTGGCTTTGCTCATTTGTATGTATGATCATGGATGGGCAAGATAAGGCTGTCAGCCTTATCAAGCCTTCATAATCTCCTCACTCAGCAGCCTACACTACTGTTACTGAATTGTTTGGTGGGGGGGTTGGTCCAGATTTGTAGCTTGTGAACCATCTTCTGATTACTCCAGTGATAAGTTGTTGGGATTCTTACCTTTTCTTTGTTGATCTCTTTTAAAACATGTAAATAAAGTTCATATAATTGTTCTACGTTAAGTGATTTGACAAGTTCTATATTGTCACAACATGCATTCTTTCTCTAAAAGTTGTTTTATTCTGTTCATGCGCCTATGTTCAAGTCAAGAACAGATAACTACTCTTGAGTTTGGGGATTGACCTTGGAAAGCCTGTTCTGCCTGCACAAGCCCCACTAAAATTAGCAGGTTTTATGATGAGAAACTATGAGCTTATACAGCTTTCCTTCAGCTTTTTAGTAAATACAAGCTAATACTGAAAAACGTAATGTAGGTGCCTAATTTACAAGGTGACTGAACTAGACTTCAGGGAGGATGTTTTTAATTGCAGTCTAAAACATATGTTGGACATATTTAGGATACAGTCCTTTGCACAACTCTAAGCTGCTGTTATATTCTATCAAAATCAACAGGATTTAAGTATTCCATCTGTATACACAATGCAGCCTCACATGTATTGCCATGACTCCTTTCCCAGTGCAGTTTGTTTATCTAGGCAATGTCATTGCTCCCTTAATGCTAGAGAGAAGTGAAAGAATTTCCAACTCCTAAACAGCTGTCCTGAAGTTGCCTTCAAAGCTGGAACTTGTAATATATTATTTGGCAAATAATTGTGGAGAACAATTGCTAGAATTCGCCCCCCCCCCTTCCCAAAGTAGAAATTCCTTTCACACACATACATAGGGAAAGGGCTGATCTTTCAATGAGCTGTCTCTTGCAGCTTTTAAGAGGTGCTGCTCTACCTGACCTACTTCCCAAAAATGTTGCATTTTTCATCTCGCCCATAAAAGGAAGTGGCAAAGGGTATAAATTTGGAGATATAGCCATAATAAAGTGGACTTCATTAAGCCTGAGCAGAAAAAATAGCTCTTGGAGTATAAAGTCTTCCATCGAATAGCTTCAATCATGCCTTTCCAGTTTTCTCAAACACCTGATAAGCTGCTTAAAAGCATGTGTGCTTTGTTTTAACACAATAAACTAAAATAAAATCTAGTTGTTATATTTATATACTAGGGACAAAAAGTTTTTAAACACCACAGTCTCATAAGATACTTGGAAAAGAGATATTTCCTGCAAAACCACAGTGAAAGTGTTCCTGGTGTCTGCAGGCTTTCCTGAATGCTTTCTAGTACAGTTATCAGACTTCTGTTGGTGGTGGTTGTTTGCAATGACATTTTAATGGTTTTCTGAAGTGTCAAAGTAAATATACCAGTTTGATTTTTTAAAAGCTAGTAGTTCGGATGAATGAAAGTTGTAGTCCAAAACATCTGGAGGGCACCAGGTTGGAGAATGCTGTTATGGGTTATGTTTGTCATGCCTTTCATTCATTTTGTAATCCTTTGGGTGAAAATCACTTTAATGCTGTGCACTGTTTAAGCATAATTGCATGTAGAACCATAGACTTTATTTGCTTGTTCTTACAAATATGACTATGAAACTGTTGCTTCTGTTGGTTAATGAACTAATCTGGGTGTATCCTTGTGTTCCTCCCCCCTTTACAACCTGCAGGCTTGCAGATGGGTCAGGGGCTGTGGAGAGTGGCCAGGAACCAGCAGCTGCAACACCAGGGATACGCGGGACAAAGCTATCTGTCCAGAGAGCATGGTAGAAGGATAGCTGCTAATAACGTTTCAAATGCAAACCATCGGAAACATGCACAGGGAGGCATTGACATTTACCATCTGTTGAAAACTCGGAAGTCAAAAGAACAAGAAGGGTTCATCAACCTGGAAATGTTGCCTCCTGAACTTAGCTTTACCATTTTGTCATACCTGAATGCAACAGACCTCTGTCTGGCTTCATGTGTTTGGCAGGATCTTGCTAATGATGAGCTTCTTTGGCAAGGGTAAGTTAATGAGAGGTCATGAGCACAGGTTACAACAGTCAATTTAGATCCAGGATTTCTTGTCCAAACCACTTGCTTCTTTAAACAAAACATCAAAAATGAAAAACTACTGTGTAATTGTAATTGTAGCTAATTAACTAGGCTTTTTGAGTCTCCAAATTGCAACTTAAAGCCGATAAGGAGAGTACAGAGTGATAGAACTTCAGGAGCAATTAACTTAAGTTTTCAAAGGTGATGGTACTTCAGAAAAAGAGTGTGCTCTCAGGTCATGCAGAGGCATTTCAGAAATGGTTAGCGTTCTTGCATGTGCTTCTTACCCTTGTGGAAACTGTAACGGCTCTATTAAAAAACTAGGTACATGATGGTCTAAAGCAGGCATAGGCAAACTCAGCCCTCCAGATGTTTTGGGACTACAACTCCCATAATCCCTAGCTAACACGACCAGTGGTCAGGGATGATGGGAATTGTAGTCTCAAAACATCTGGAGGGCCAAGTTTGCCTATGCCTGGTCTAAAGACTCTAAAGTGAAACTACATGTTTGGTGAGAGCATGAAACATAACACTGAACTCGTTGTGGCTGCTTCTTGAACTATTCTTCAGCATAGCTATCACAAGTATTCAGTTGCTCATGAAAATTCAGTTCCTACCCTGGTCTACATATGGCTTGCTGAATTTGATAGTGCAAATATTTTCGAGATCAGCACTTTGGGCTACAAGGTTGTCTTAAATGGATAGGGCCTGTTTTTGTGTAATGGCACCAGTCAGTAATGTTTCTGGAAGCAGAAAGCTAGCCTTCTCTTCATAATGCTCAAAACAACTGCTTGCCTGGCTACACCTTACTAACTGGTCACAAAAAATGGAGAGTGGAGAAAATGAGTTTTGTATGTGCCACTTCCCAACATATGGGTGTGCATTAATAAGATTTTGTACAGAGCAAGCCCTTGGAATGGGTAAAAGGAATGTGTTGACCCATGCGATTGGAAATACGTCATGAATTTTTTCATGAGCTTTATTTTTTTCATAAAAATAAATTTAATAGTTCAATTGCACCCTAAAGCACCAAGTTCCAGATATAGTTAGATGTTCTTTTCTTATTATATACTGTCTAAAGGATAGGCAGTACTGGGTTGTAATCCTGTATGAAGCAGAACAACCACACACTGGATGACATTCCTTCTCTGTGAATTGATAAATTATCTGAAAGTAAAGCTGCTCTCTCCTAATGCCTGGTAGGTTTATTATTTTTTTAAGATTCAAGCTTGGGTCAACTGATGTTTACATTTACTTACCCGGTTAGTCTCTGAAATATTAATTAATGAGACTTTTACGATGAGAAGGCAAGTACTGGATAGCACCATTCATTAAGCCCCTCACGCTACAGAGGCTTACATGTACTTACAGTTATCTGTTTAACTATTTCTGTGTGGAAATTTAGACATGTATATGTTTGGAAGATTTTTGTACTGATACTACATGCGTTGGCAATGATGCAGTACAAAAAAATAAGTCAGTTTTTCGGTAGTTGTGCAAATCCTAGGTATTTAATTGGTTCACTTATGTTCATAAAACATAATGAAAAGTATGTTTTAGACTATTTAGAAAACTCCTATTAAAGTCTGTGTACTAAGTTATATAACTGAAACATTAAGTGGTACTTTTCAAGTACTACTGTAATATCTGGTGGGCTCTTAGAATCCTGAAATCTTGGACCTGAAAATGAATTAGAGCATAACCTATTTCCATATTGAACATGCTTCTTCCATTTTTGTAGATTGTGCAAATCCACTTGGGGTCACTGTTCCATATACAATAAACGTCCGCCTCTGGGATTTTCATTTAGAAAATTGTATATGCAGTTGGATGAAGGCAGCCTCACCTTTAATGCCAATCCAGAAGAGGTGAGTTGATGTTGATGACAATAGTAAGTGTTGGTGATAGTTCTGGTGCTCTTGTTGGTTTCTAAACTGCTGGGCAGATCTAACGTTAGTGGAGCATAGAAGTGCCCACTAGATGTACAATTGAAAAATAATAATAATCATTAATTAGAAGCATACTTTTTGGGATATACATTTTATTGAAATCCATTTGTACTTGCTTAAAGCAAATGTTTTAGGATTAAGGTTTAACAGAAAGTACGTTATTTTTACTTTGCCTTTGACTTCAGGTTTGTGAATAAATGTCTCATTTGTAGAAAAAATGAGAAAATAAACATATGCAGTTGTGGCACAAAACGCTAACACAATCCAGTGTACTAAAGCTGCTCATTAATTGGAACTTCAGCTTTGTTATGGAATTAAGAAACAAAGAAAGTTTGACTCATAATGATTGTTTTACTTTAACAAAGGACGGAGTTGTCTCTGATCACTTTGTAATGCTGAAATAAACCTTAAATCTAAAGTAGCGGGTTTGATAACTGAGAGCTTTGGTTAGCAGGTGGGTTAGAAATACTCCAAATAAATTAAATACTGTTATGTGTTACATTTATGCATCCTGTGTGTGTTTAGAGCCCTTAATTTTTTGATCATGTTCATTTTCTAATTTTCTGTTTGCTTTTTCTGTCTTGTAAAGCTATTTTGTTGAAATAAAGAAATGTTAGGTAATCACCCCCTTGAGCCAACTTAGGTGGGCGGACTATCCACCTGTCAGTCCTCATTATGACATCAGGTGATTGACAAATGAGGGTTTCCCATCCACTTGTCAAAGCTGGCTTGTTTATCACCTGGCTTGGGGGTGATAAAGATCTGGCCTGCTGGGCCCAAAAGGTTCCTCAGACTTGCACTATAGGACCATCAGCTAATCTGTTCTTGTCAGTAGCAAACTAGTTATGGCTTCCTTGCTGCTTTTAGCAAGGACAAACACTGATGAAGGAGCACAAGCTGCTGTTGGGAGTAGGTGCAGTTTCCAGTGGGAGGATACCAGAAGTGCCTTGTGCAAGTGTTATGTTTCATCATATATTTTATAATTTTCATTAAACGTGTGTGAGCAGTTTTCCTCTTCTCTTCCTCATGTGGATAGTGTTTAGACTGCAGGCATATGCAAACTCGGCCCTCCAGATGTTTTGGGACTACAACTCCCATCATCCCTGACCACTGGTCCTGTTAGCTAGGAATGATGGGAGTTGTACTCCCAAAAACATCTGGAGGGCTGAGTTTGCCTGTGCCTGGTTTAGAGCAAGAATAGTCTAGAAAATGTAATCAATATTTCTGTAATTTGATTATAAGAACTAGACAAATAACATATTTTACGGCACATGCTGGTCTGTGAGTTTCCTGAAATATATTTTTTAACATTTAGAATATGTTACATGGTTTCAAGACATGTGCAAGCTAAACATGCCTGCATTTTAACATCTTATAAGTTCAAAACCATGCATTCATTTGAATGTGATCTTGTACACAGCAGGACATGAAAATGACTCTTTTAAAGTAAAATGAATGCTAAATAATAAAGGCTGACTAAATTTTCAGCATGATACCCAGTTAGGAAATGAAGTGCAGTTCCTCAGCAGTCTTAAATTTCAACCTAATATGACACACACAATCAAAAAAGAGAGAAGGTTCATGTTGAAGGAAGTATGTTTCCTGCTGCTTTACTACATATAAAATCTCATTCATAACTACACTAATGCATGTTTTATTTGCATATGAATTGGATGGCATATATTGAAATGTAGTTCTGAAGATAGAATTTCTTCATCGTTATTAGGATTTGTTCCATTCCAAATTCCCCTGTTGAGCACAAAAACCTAATATTGCATATATAAAACATCTCTTTGTCCCAGGGAGTCAACTACTTCATGTCCAATGGAATACTGGATGATTCACCAAAGGAAATAGCTAAGTTTATCTTCTGTACGAGAACACTAAATTGGAAGAAACTGAGAATCTATCTTGATGAAAGGTAACTTTATTATAAACTGGGAAGCATTGTATTCCCTTTTATTTAGTAGAGTTGTATTTTCATTTGAAACACTGGAAGAATGGGGCATTAGTTAATAATAAAATACATCAATTTAGTGACGGCAAAGCTGACGATCTTTTTTAATTCTTTTTTTGGCACTTTACCAATGAAATTTACCCAGTAGTGGAAAAATGTGTTGATAGCAAGTTTCTTGTAATAGAAATCTAGCATTAATAGGAATGATGCTCCTCTGCTCTTCATCAAACACTTCAAATTCTGGAAAGGAAAGTAATCCCTCAGTTAAAATCTTATTTAGGTTGCATCTGTCACCCACTTGCCCCAGTTATAGAATCATTTCTTTAGCCATGTTAGGTTCAAACTAGTAAGCACTATAGTGCTTGAGCAAATTCAGATGTTCTTGATATTATTTTAAAAATATACTATCCATATATGGTATTGAGGATTTCCTAGGAATAATTATTTGTTTACATGCTCAAGACTATCTCTGGGTTGCTGCCCTGGGACAGCTATCTAGTTTGCAGAAGGAATTCCAGACCTGTTTTCTTGACTGCTAACTTTGGTTTTTATTGGCTCACTGTGTACTGTATGTCTGGAATTGTGGTCTCCGCTGCTGCTGCTGCTGATTATTATTATTATTATTATTATTATTATTATTATTATTAACAACAACAACAACAGTCAAAGTTGTGATTCCATTTATAACATATCTTGGGAGAAAAAGTGAGAGCCCCTCACTTTTATCCAGTCCATGAAAGTCCATGTATTCTACAAAATGTTTACACCATAATAAATCTATTCCTGTTAAGGTACCACAACACTGTTGATCTATCCAGGGAGTTTTCTTTTGAACTGAAGCAAAGGGTAAAGCAATGAAAGCCTAAAAAGAGCCAAGCAGATGTAGGAGTAGAAAAATGGAACATGTAAATAGGCCCTTAGAAAGAGAAAAAGCAAAGTCTACAACAGAAAAACCCCAAAAATGTTCCATTTACAAAAACCCATAGACAAATGTCAGAAAGGATATCAAAGTGATCTGAGGATGAAATGAATTTTAGTTTTAGAGACAACTCATTTTGGTAAAAACCTGGACTGTAATTGGAGGCTGTAACTAACGTATAGCAGAGGTGCCTGTTGTGACCTGCTTCCTGTATACCTCTTCCATCATGTGTTCTCTTCCTTTTATCTGACATTCTCCGTTGTAAATGTGTTCATATGAAATGTATTATTGTTTAATATTATCTGTAATTGGCTTTGTTTATTTGTCAGTTGATGGCTCAGGTGTTTGAAATATTAAGGTTTCAGTTCTGTATATATGTATCTGGGAAGTAAGCTCCTTGGAAATTGCCCATGTAGGATTAGGTTGTAAATTGTATTGGAAATATTTTGAATGTTCATGTAATCTTGATTGGCACTTACTGAGAGTTGTTGCAACCTGAAAAGTTTGAGGAAGTGTCCAGGATATACAGTCTCATGGACAATGCCATGCAGATTCTTAAGGTTGGGCGCATTAAGAGCTGAACACATATGTATGATCCACTCAAAGAACCATTTGTAATTGGAAACAGCAGCCTCAGAACTGTTACTTATTTTTCCAGCTCTAGTAGCTATCAATGAACCAGTCGTACAGACTACTGTACTACATGCATATATGATATATGACCATCATCAGATGTTTCTGTGGCATATCTGATTGCATTACAGTGCATTGTTTCAATATTTTAAAAGAACTGTGTTAGTCTTATTGCCATATCTTTCTCTAGCAGAGGGAGGTTTTGTTTTCCATTATTTGCATATCTTGATAAATTATGATGTCTGGGTTTTTTTACAGTATGTTGTTGATACATACAGACTTGCAATGCAATATATTTTTGCCATTCTATATCCACAGAAATTAAATAACTATACATATTGCAACATCCTTTAACCTGCTATACCAATGGACAGGATCATAATACTTTGGTGTTCTTTATAGTACAAATCACACCTATTGTGCTAAATATATGTTATGAACTGTATACTGTTTGTTCTGGTTTGTAGATCTTCCTTTATTAAGTCTTGATGAAATGAAGGATTTAGAAAGGGAAAGGAATCCTCCCCCCAAAGTCCTTATGGTTACAGTTCTATACACACCTGGGGTAGGTTCCATTGAATTCACTGGGACTTGCATCTGAGTAGACGTGCATAGGTTTCACTGATAAGTTTTAAAAATGTGTTTTGCATAATTGTCACTTGTCTTTTCTTTTTCCTTTTTTTTAATTAGGCGAGATGTTTTAGATGACCTTGTGACGCTACACAACTTCAGAAATCAGTTCTTGCCAAATGCACTAAGAGAGTTTTTCAAGCACATTCATGCCCCTGAGGAGCGTGGCGAATATCTTGAGACTCTTATTACAAAGTTCTCACACAGATTTTGTGCTTGTAACCCTGATTTGATGAGAGAACTTGGCCTTAGCCCAGGTAAGAAGAAATGGCCTGCAGTTTAGATGGTGTGGAATGTTGTTTTGTAGTATTAATCAAGACCTGACAAATATGCAAATGTTTCTTTTTAGGTCCTGCATGATTTAAGAGCTCTGAATCTGCATATCCTTATGGCTTAGTAATGCGTTAATGAAGTTTATTTCCCAGTAAATATATTTACTGTAACCCAACACAGGCTTATGTTCCTTTTAAGGTCAGATTGGTTTTAGTGTGATTTGAGCACCAGTAACTACACAGTGGAGGGACGCGGGTGGCGCTGTGGGTAAAAGCCTCAGCGCCTAGGGCTTGCCGATCGAAAGGTCGGCGGTTCAAATCCCCACGGCGGGGTGTGCTCCCGCTGCTCGGTCCCAGCGCCTGCCAACCTAGCAGTTCGAAAGCACCCCCGGGTGCAAGTAGATAAATAGGGACTGCTTACTGGCGGGAAGGTAAACGGCGTTCCGTGTGCTGCGCTGGCTCGCCAGATGCAGCTTGTCACGCTGGCCACGTCACCCGGAAGTGTCTTCGGACAGCGCTGGCCCCCGGCCTATAGAGTGAGATGGGCGCACAACCCTAGAGTCTGTTAAGACTGGCCCGTACGGGCAGGGGTACCTTTACCTTTACCTTTTTAACTACACAGTGGATTGCTCAGGTTAGATGGACACTTCTAGTAAGCATTGTGTACAGCATTCCAGGTATACTCATATTATCTGTGCTCCATTCCTTTACCTGTGATTGTTTCTTCTTTAACTCAAGAATATTGATGCATCATAGGTGAAGCTTGTTAGAGCAAGAGATAGGACTATTTTGGAATTGGAAGCCCAGTTATAGAACACCTTCTCCAGGAAGATACCTGTAGCAAAAAAAACCCAACCCACCAGACAAAGCCCTCTTTTTTTCCCCCACCCAGCCCTTTAAAAACACTTATGATAATAAAAAACATTTTAAGTACTCTTAGTTGATCCAGACAGTCATGCTTAGAGTAGATTTATTTATTTTATTTCATAAAATTTAATTATGTTGACTGTTTTAAAAAAACAAACCCCAAGAAAAACATTGGCAGGGCCATGCCCTAAAAAATATTTGTTTAAAAAATCGTTGTTATAAAAAGTTGTTGTGTTTTCTTAAAATGTTATCTATTCAAAGTCATGACTTTTTCTTCCCTTTCCCCTTAGATGCTGTCTATGTACTATGCTACTCTTTGATTCTGCTTTCCATTGATCTTACTAGTCCTCATGTGAAAAATAAAATGTCAAAGAGAGAATTTATCCGAAATACACGCCGCGCTGCTCAGAACATTAGTGAAGATTTCGTTGGGCACCTTTATGACAATATCTACCTTATAGGCCATGTGGCTGCCTAAAAAGCACAAGTTGCTAGGACTTAGAATTTATAGTTTAAAAGGAATTGGATCTCCAATGAGATTTGGGTTTTGTTTGTTTTGTTTGTAGATATGGGGGTTATATTAGTGCTGGTCATTCTAACCTCCGTCTGCAATCAAAAATGTACAAGAACAACATTTTTTTAGCAATTTACCATGAGAACTGAAGAATTTTGGATTTTTTAAAAATTTTGCTTACAGTTTGCACAAAAATTACCATTAGTTTGACATGTTACAATTTCTGAATGTTAAACTGACATTATGATTTTAAACTGACAAGATGGTGGACTTATGCAGTAGATTTGCTTGAACACTTTAACCAGTTCTTTTGTTTTTTTAAAATACCATGTAATGTGTACATATTTAAAGAGATTTATAACCATAATTATTTTATTGTAAAATATTTTAACTAAAAAATTTCCTGTCTCTCTCTAGACTAGACTATGTCTTTTCGTATTTATTTATTTCTTTACTTTGTGAGACTGCTCTGGTTCATTTTGCTGTTGCCTTTGTTTAATAGCATTTGGTGTGCACACTCTTCAAAAGCTAATTTAAAGACACAAAGCATTTTAGATTCTAAACTGCCATTTACAGCCACCAGCCTAGCATAATTGGGTAGTATCTGGCTGTCTTTGTGCCTCAGTGTTTAGTGCCTTAAAACATGGGACATTTTTTGTAGCTATGGCTCAGGGTTGGGTGCCTTCATAGCGGCTGCCCAGAAATAGTAATAATAAAAAAATCAACACTGAAAATCATGGAGGTTATGCGAGAACAGTTGCATTACAGCTGATTCATTTCACTTCCACTTAAGCAAGAGACATTCTTGGTGAATTTGACCTAGAATTAGTGGCTGGGATCCTTTGCACAAGCCTAAGGCATTTCTGTTTGCATATGGTCCCTCTTACCCAATTTCCACCAATTCCTCTTGTTCAAGTTCTGACCCAGCTATTCAGAAAGATCAGTGGTGCTCAGGAATTCTTGAGGTGGGAGAAATGAGAAAACCGCACTGTATGTGTGAAGTTCCACTTATGCAATGTTAACAATTAAATCTCTCTCCTGCCTGGAGTATCCCAAGTGTGCCTTGCATATGGAAAATTCTCCTTTCTCAGTTACTTTCTGCTGCTACCTACTACAGTGCCTGTGAATAGGTTGTGAGAATTATCTGAGTGGTATTGTTCACCAACAGCAGCACAAGCATTACTTGAGCTGGCACAGGTGAAACACAATAATCATAACTCACAAGTGGGAAAACGTCCATTTCCCCCTCAGTTATAGCTGGTGTCCATTTTTCCGTAGAATAGCCCACCCAACAACTATATATGCTCATGGAGTTTCACAGTATGAAAACTCGGGGTCCTGATTATGATAATGAAATGTTAAAGAATATATTTAAAAGCTATGGAAATTGAGCAGCTTGGGTTCCTTTCATTTCTGCACAAATAACTGAACCTGCTTTTTTTTCCTTTGACCAATCCCAGTGTGTGGAAATAGGCTATTTTCTTTTTTGGGTGAGGGAGGATGAGGTTTTTATAAAAATCTCGTAGGAATAGTAGTTAAACCCTCTCCATCCCTTAATACAGGCATAACTAAAGCCAGCTTTGATATGGAAAATAACTCATGCTATAATGTAGACAAATATTAGCCACAGGAAAAGTTTGAGTCCCAATATAAAAGCTTACCCAGGGCCTCAAAATTTCCATAGAAAACTCAGACATCCAAAAGCAAAGAAATGTGTTCAATGTGTAAATTTCAGTTCCATGTTTTGTAGATGTTCAGTATATCAGTTTCATTCAGTTTTATTTTAGATGCGAAAAAAATCTTGTACAGCTGCTATTCCTTGTTTTCAGGGCTACTCTGTATCTTTTGCAAAGCAAGTTAAACCCATCCTACATTTGGGAGGATACATTTAATATATCTTTAAACATGCAATAATTTAAAACATTTCTCAAAGCTTCAAATAAAGGACAAATTTGAAGAAGAATCTACTGACTAAAAAGTCCTCGACTGACAAAGGCTGCGTGTGTCTGTTTTTAAAAGATTTAAAACACCACTTGAAGTAATGTGGTGTTGACAGTGCTTGATAATGCTATTTAATTCATTATAATTGATTTTTCCCAATTACTAGGATTCATGATTTATGCGAACTACTCATTTGTAGTTTCTTAGCTTGACAAACTGGTATTACTTTTCAGCCAATATAAGTGCATAGCTACACCATTTAGAAGAAACTCCAAATTACACTACAGATTTCTTTAAAAAGAAAAATGGGGGGGGGGAGGCAGGCATGCTTCCTAGTGAATTGCAAATGAAGACATGAAATGCAGATTGAGGAATATGTTGCCCCCTTTTATGGTTATTTTAAATAAATATCTCACTCAATAAGCTTAGAGTTGATTACCAGCTTTTTTTTTTTTTTACTGCTTTTAGAAAATCGTCTAATCTCCAAAGCATTATTAAAATGAACAAAGGACAGACTTGAAGGATTTCCTGTTTCCCTCGCCATGCATGTTTTGGCTTCATTTTCATTTAATGTGTAATAAGATACAAACTTCACAATCTGCATGCAAATCTGTCCCACTGTGCTAAAAGGCTTTTAATATTACTATCGTGCAGTCCTAAGGATGGCTATGCAGATGTAAGTATAAAGTTCAATGGGATGTTAGTCTTAACTAGATTATTATTAAACTAATGAATAAGAGTCCTTCAAATACCATGCATGTTTAGGTATAAATCTAAGCTTGCACTTTAACTATTTTGACGGTGCTTTTTTTTTAAGGAACTCTCTTGTTAAGGGTTTGTCTGCAATGCACGTTTGTGATCAAATAGTCACCCAACTATTCTGTGGCTCTGTGAGCCACATTTTCAACACAGTTTGGTTGTGAAATTGGACTTTTAATTTTACAATGAAATTAAAATCATTTGCACCCTTAGTCAGAAGACAGACATAGGGTTAACAGTGCAACTTCACTGACATTTAAAACAAGCGATTGGCAGTGGTGCTCCAGCTGTGCAGAACTGAAATCTGCAGATCCTTCCAATTTCTATGAAAAGGAAGGAACCCATTGGTCACACCTTAATTAATCAGTATGGCAGCTTTAGCTGTACCACACAAGCTTCCAGAGGGTTGCCTACCCTGCCCCACGGGGTTCAAAGCCCTCATGGGCAAATCTTGGAATACAGGCAACTCCCATTTTACATGGGGGTTACATTCCGAGACATCACACACATCTGTGAAATCACATATATTTGAAACAGCATTGGGAAAGCCTGCAAACACTCTATCTCGTCCCTTTTTGTGACATTAATGGGTCACTTCCAGGTTTGGGTTGATGTGTGTGTGCACGGTCGCACACATATTGAACACACATAAATGGGGAGTTGCCTGTAATCTGTCACCATAAAGGTGACTTGGGGCATTCCCTGATAACTCATCTGCTCTTAGAGTAAGTTAAAGAGAGAGAAAGAACCAGACCTGTTTCCCACAGTGTGGCACCTCCCCAGGTTGCTTGGTTGGTTGGTTTTTAAAAAACTTAGTTGGCCATGAAGCAATCAACCTGACCTATACTGCCGCCTTAAGGGTGGGTGTGAGAAAGTCCAAAGAATGTCAGCAAGTAGCAAGGCTGGTTTAGCTTATGCCGTGCCACCTTGTTTAAAGCTGCTACCTTTGTTTGCATGCTGGAATGTTGTCTTGCCTCCATCCGCTGTGTTCAATGACACCGCCAACCCACTTATTGTTTGGGGCATGCTGGAACAGGGTGCACACAAGTGGGACAGAAACTGGCATTCTAGTGTCTGTCCATGGTGCTATGTTCACTTTGCCCTCAGCTTTTCATAGAATGGAGACACAATGATGAGATTGATTTCCGCTGTAGATTTCTTCCTCCTCTGAAGCTAAAGAGTCTCTTCATAAATAAGCTGGAAGCCCTCTACTGCTGGAAGAAGAGAAATGAAAAAGGCTGTAACAGTGATTTTAACCCCCCCCCCAACCCTCTGCAATCCCTCTGGCTTATGCTAGCCATTTTTGGTTTCCAAAACAAGATGAACCAGCTCTCTTTCAGTTGGCTATAGCTTCATTTTTTACCAGAGACTGCCAACTAAGTAACTGCCTGCAAGTTCAACCACAGTATTTTATTTTTTTAAGAAACCAAAACTTCCTCTTCACCATTTTTATAGAGAATGAGAGAATATGGAGTGTGTTCTGACTGTGAAACCTCTTTCCACAGAAGGCTCGGCAAAATCTGAATGCACGGCTGTCCCTACCATTAGGTAGAGTGAGGCAATCACATCAGGTGGCAAAAGTTTCTTTGTGTGCAACATGGCCATCCTGCACCTCCCACAACTAGCTTGCTGTCCTTGGATGCAATGGAGAACAACATTTGCTGCCAGCATATCTAGTCAGTTTCTGTATGTGGACTAGAGGGGGCAAGGAGTACCATTTTGCCCTCCACTGCAGGCACCATAACAGACCAAAGTCCAGCCATTTTTCAGAAAACAAATCCCAGTACCCAAATTCAATGGGCCTGGTTTGGTAAAACTTAACTAGATACAACGCTTGAATCCAGCAGCAGTGAGTCCCTTTCAGAAATAATACTTTACAGTTTGTCATGTTTTCATATTTTACATTGTGTGCTTGAGGGGGTGAAGCAGATTGAGAATATAATAAAATTCGTGAGGAAATGGAGAAGAGTTCTAGCTGGGCTGGAAAATTCAGCCCACCACTAAGTCAGGTTAGAAACTGTTATTTCCTCTCTGTATGTGTCCTTCAAAATCTGTTTATTTGGAGAGCTACAAGGCTGGGATATTGGGTCTTTTTCCGAAGGCATTTTCATTTGTAAAAGTTAGCCTCCTTCTTGGCAACGAGGAGGAATGTTGTATTTAATTTAAAATGATTAATGAGATTTTGTCAGACTCCTGCCCTCTACCGCCACTGCAGTATGTCAGAACAACAACCTGGGAAAACGGACGCCACTCTGTCGCCCCAAACAGCTTCCCAGGAAAAATTAAAGCTGAGTAGCCAGCACCAGGTACTTGTCAATGGTATTGTCTTTTGGTTGCTTGACAGTTAAATGCCAAGTTAAGATATTTACCTGTTTGGGACAGAGGGACCTACATTAGTTACTTAAGTAGGGGTCTCTCTCTCTTTTATGCTAGAGATCGGTATTTGGTTTCTGCTGTTTTCTAAAAAATAATGTGTGATGCTGGAATTAAATTGAATGTCTGTTTTCCACCAACCCACCCAATAAGCAAACATATGACAGTCTTTTGGATTTTGAGAGAGATAAGGCTCTCTCCCTGCTCACAGATTAGAAGAGCGGACAGGAAAGCAGGAAATAACCTGCTTTTGAGGTGAGCCTCATACAGATCCTTTGCAACAGAACTGTGAATGTAATCTGATTGTAAGATATAATATTAATCAGCATGAGACCCTGCAGATGATTGCTTCTGTGTCATCGTCCAGAGAGTGGCACTCCAAAGGGACTGAGGAAACAGGTAACTAAAGCCTTAGCTGCCATCTCACTCTGTTATTCCTGGGGGAAAGCCCCACTGAGCTCCATTTGGCTTCCTTGAGTAAACTTGTAGAGCAGGGGTAGGCAGCCTAAGGCCCGGGGGCCGGATGCGGCCCATTTGCCTTCTCAATCCTGCTCGTGGACGGTCTGGGAATTAGCATGTTTTTACATGAGTAGAATGTGTGCTTTTATTTAAAATGCATCTCTGTGTTATTTGTGGAGCATGGGAATTCATCCCCCCCCCAAAAAAAAATAGTGGCCCACCACATGGTCTGAGGAACGGTGGACTGGCCCACGACTGAAAAAGGTTGCTGATCCCTGTTGTAGAGGATTACACTATTAAGCTAGGTGCATCTACATATGTATGTACTGCCTTATTTAACTACCAGTGCAAACCTATACGTGTTTGTCCTCTTAGTGGTGCAGCTATAGAACAGCTAGCACATTTGCAAAGCTAAGCAGGATCCAGTATGGTTTTCAAATTGGATGGGGGACTATGCATTGAGATTCCTGCATAGCAGGGGGTTGGACCAGATGACCCTCGGGACCCTTCCAACTGCAACTCTATTCTTCTCCAAAGTAAGCCTCACTAACGACAATGGGACTTCATCACAAGTGGGTATAGGATTACAGGCAAAGAACAGTAAAACAAAACCTTTAGCCATCTAGAATATTTTCAGCTTTCCACTTCAAAAATAATTACATTTTTAATCCTTTTATTGACTGTTAATTATGCAGTTACAATTGTACCCAGTAACTTAGCGACAGCTGACCCTGTCAAGAAAGACATAACTATAGAAACAATATCGTGAGTTTGTCAAATTAATACAAGAAAACCTAAGCTTGAGTCCATGCTCAAACAGAAATTCTGCCTTTGGCCTTAGTTAAACTGCAGTCATTCTGGATGCATGAAGAAGAGCATTTTTGATGTGTTTCATCTCAGGTTTGCGCTCTCTGTTCTTTTCATCCTCTTTGTTACACAGGCAACAAAGAACCTTCTTCCTTGAATTGTGTTGTTCCTTCCCTCCCCTGAATTTGTGTGCATGCACCTATTCACCTCCCAAAATGCTTTGCCACAATGGAAAATGAGCGATTCTGGTATAGAACCTCTAAATCTCTGTTTTCTGTGACATTGTATTAAATCTGCATATCTGCCAAGGTTAGCCGGAGGGTGGTGATTAAACTATCTGTCCTAGGTTTTTTCCTGGCTTTCTGGCCCCCTCTTTCTCTGTCTAACGCTTTCTCTTGTCATTTGACTTCTTGCAAGGTATTTGGAGATATTACAGCAAATCTTTCCCCCTGACGTCTCCAATCAAGGGGAGAGGTCTGTCTGCTTCCCCTTTGCAGAGCGCCTGCTGGTTATCTGTAGTAGCATCAAGGGCATGAGCAGCTGCTATAAAGCAGGGTTAAGCAAAGCAGCCTCTAGGGATTGCAACTCTGCCCTGGGAAAAATTAATCATCCTGCCCTTGCTTA